GAAACTGTTGAGGGGCGAGGGGTAACGCCGGTGTGTGAGGGAGGTCTGGGGCGGCCTCTTCCCGCTCCCAGCGCCGGCTTGGCGAAGTGAGAGCAACAGAGGCAAGCTCAGGACTCTCGGGCAGGGAGGGAATTATGCTTGTGTGGAGTTTCAGCCTGCCAGTACGGGATTGTATCCAAAGTAGCTGCTCTCAAGGGAGGACGAGGGTGTGCTAGACAAAGGCGTGGAAGTAAAGCATTGCACACTAAATATCTAGGTTGCCTTTGGTTTTACTTGACTTTTTATATTGCATGTGATAAAACCTCCCTCACTTGGATTTCTGCTAAGACAGGATAGCCAACTGCCTGTTACGGAGGCAAGTACTGAAAATACCTGGAAGATGTATACCCTAGCCTACAAAAATTGAAACACCGAGCCATCTTGCAAAGCATACAGAACTGGCCCCTGCTTCTAAACAGTCAAAAGTATCGAGTCATGACCTTAGCTGTGAAAGCTTCAGGAATCGCTTTGATCCAAACTATATTCCAGCCCTCTCTAAATGTCACTTCTTGCTTCCTTCTTTCAGTGCTATCTGTTGGTCTTTTTGACCTGTTTTCACTTAGGGCAGCTGAACGGACTCGTTTTCTCTGCCATCAGAATGCTGAGTTGGTGAGGCAGCACCTCAGTGGCATGACCGGAGCTTCCCTGAGGAAATGAGCTGGCTTGCTGTGAGAGTCTTTGCAAAAAGAACAGGCTCAAGTCTCCACAAAGACTGTCCTCAAAGGCTAAATTTTCTTGTCTGGAAAGAAAAATAGTTTTATTTAGTATCTTGCAGTTATTCTGGAGATAGATGTAAACTAAATGGAAGTTCCAAAGAGGTTTTTGGCATGCTCGCTTCTTCTAATTAATTACCATGCTATCGTATCCTTGAACCTGTATTTCAAGCCCATACATTCCTACCGCTGTCTCCATTTAATAATAAGACTCAGTGGACGAAGTAAATTAGGTTTCACCTCCTGTTCATCTCTGAGTATACAAGCTACCCGCCTCCTCGACTGCTACGCTGTCCTCTGTGAACAGCTGCTCGTAATGGCTGCTAAGAGGAAGACTTTAGGTTTGCTTTTTATTGTCTAGTTGGAACGTCGTGGAGCCATAAACTTCCAGCTTTTTAATCATATGGACAATCTTTTTTTTTCTTCTTTTGCTTGAGTCGGTTGAATTCTGATAGCAAGTTTGAAGCAACGTGATGGACGCCAATACAGAGTTTAACTTGCATGAGCATCAATCAGTTTGTGGCTAATTCAAGTAATCTTATTTGCTAAGGAGTCGTTCATATGCTAGGCGATATCCAAACATAAATGTAAGGACTTAGTATTGTCACTGATACAAAGCATTTTTAATTCATTTAGTATAAATTAATGTTGTTACTGGTTAATCTTGTTTGGAACTGAGGAGATCTTGCTGACATCTTCAGATGGGCTGCTGCTTACAGGTTAGTGGGTGCCATTTACAAGTCACAGAGCCTGAACCACCGGGCATTGCTTGTTCCTAATTAACCCGCATCAACCTTTTGCCGCTGTAAAAAGCATGTAGTTATTTTGGGGGTTGGACTAGATGACCTCTAGGGGTCCCTTCCAACCCAAAACACTCTATGATTTTCTCATTTAGAAATTACTGTTGGTTTTGGCTTTCAGATGTGTTCTAAAAGAACTCGAATCACTGGGGAAAGCACTGTATGGAGCAAAATTAATTGCCCAAAGATTTCAAGTTCAGAACTGTTCTCACCAGAAGGATCCTGTGAGTGGTTCGGCCTGTTTGCTTTCCATGATTGAAGAAGGCAACCCTCATCACTTCTTCATCGCTACACAGGTAAGTGCTCATGCGAAACGTGGCTCCATATCATTTGAAGCAATCCCGTGATGCCTAAGGATAAGGAAATCTGCCGAAGCCTCGATTATGAGATTTTTAGATAGCTTGTGGGAATTAATCTTGTAAAGCCTTACTTGCTTGTAAATGTATTTGCTAATTATGAAGTAGGAAATCTTTTGTCTTACTTGAACGAGTAGGTATTTTTACCCTAGAAGGATATTGCTTAGTTCAGCAGAAGGTGTAGAAGACGTGCTGACAACCTATTGACATGTAAGAAAACAACTGATGAATTTTAATTTGCATAGTGTCTGTGCGTGCATCCCCTGCCATGAGCTGTTTTGCACAGTAATCTGGAAAGTTAAGTAAAGTGTTAAACAACCATATAACTTCAATTTCAAGATGTTTTGGAGGTTTTAAAGGAAGAATAAAGGTAGAACTTGTGTACAAATAAGAAAGGCAAGTTTTTTCTTAGGTCTGTTACTGGGACTGTATGTGTAAATTATATACCCTATATAGAAAATGGTTTACAGTAAAATTCTGTAAGATACAAGGAGTTTAAAATTACTTGTTATAGAAGAAATTATCTTAATTCCTGCGGTGTACTACACACCAATGAACTGGGACTTTTTCCTCAAAAAATGCGTGTAAGCTTATACATGCATGAAAAAAGGAAATGTTAATAAATTTTCCAGCACAAGTACAGCTGATCAGAAGGAGAGAAACTGAAAATTAAATTGCTCTGAAAGGCACTGCCAGGTATATCTGCTAGATTAAGTTTCTTATCTTTTTTGTAACGTAATTTATCTTCATAGCTTTGTATTGAAAGTAGGTGCATTTGAATTGCAAATATCGTTCAATCTCAAAATATTGACTAAAGTATTTAATTTTACAGGACCAGGATTTAGCAAACAAAGTGAAAAAGAAGGCTGGCGTTCCTCTCCTCTTTATTATTCAGAACACCATGGTTCTGGACAAACCTTCTCCTAAGTCTTTGGCATTTGTTCAAAAGTTGCAGACAAACCAGCTTGTTCCAGAGCACCAAAAACAAAGTATTGTGCAGCTTAAAGAAAAAGAAGGACTCGCAAAGCAAGAAGGTGAAAAGAGAAGAAAACGTAAAAGGGCAGGCGGCCCCAATCCCCTCAGCTGTCTGAAGAAGAAAAAGAAGAAAGCAGAGGAGGGTCAGGAGCCTTCTGCTGAAAAGAAGAAAAGAAGAAAACGAAAGCGAAATAGGGTTAAAGCAGAAGCCGTGCAGTCAGTGCAGAAGAATGAAGAAGAATAACCCCATCTTTGTAAACAATGCAGGACTTGCACTTTGTTTGAACTTTGCAAAATAATAATATGCAGTCTCGGGAAATCCAGTTGCTAACATTAAAACTTTATTTTTATGAGGTGGTACTGCTTATTACTGCATCTCAACGTTTACAGGCTCTTGTCCTAATAATTTATTCTGTTGTTTAGTAATGGGGCTTATGACAAAATACTTGGGAACCCCCATGTTTTATTATTCTCTCCAGCATCTTGATTCCTGCCAGAGAGTTCACGTGGTCGGTAGCAGTTTTTTAGAAATGCTTCTTGGGTTTCATAGGGGGTTTGGTGGGTTACTAGACTGCTTTCTAAATCTAGGTTGCTATTCTTACTAAAACTGTTTTTGACAGTTACAGAATGTGGAATTGACCTAAAAAAGCATAGTATCTTACTTACCTGTAAGTTAACTCTTTTGCAAAGCGACCAGATGCCCTCAAGAAGCCCCTTCCAGCCTAAATTGCTGTGTAAATTCACGTGTGAATGGATATGTCTGTTCATGATCTCTGTTTATTAATGAGATCCTGGAGGGCGTGTGATTGTGTTGGTATTCCTGACATTATAATGGCATCTCTAGCCTGTCTAGTTTCTCTAGTTTAATCTTCCTTTGTAAATAGAAAGAATGCAACGTGAAGTTGCTGAGGGAGAGCCCTGGCTGACAGCTAGTGCCATCGCAGTACAGCGCGGCAGCGGGGGCCTGACATACAGCAGCTGGCGGTGGTGGCACTCGGGCCCGGCTGCGCTTGTTTCTCTCTTCTGTAACAGAATGGAACCGGGTTGGAGGTGGGAGCTGCCAAAATTGTTTCAAGTACCCAACTTTCTTTAGTAGCTATTACCTGTACCTTGCGCTTTTGGGGTGGCACTGGGAGGCCGAAGGGAGTGACCGAGGTGACGTGATGTGGGGGTGTGCAGCGCAGGACACGCTCTGGCATCGGTGCGCTGCAACAGCGTTCCCAGTCATCTCTTTTAACTTCTCTCCGTGTGTTTCCACTTAACTAAGATGCAGTTCTTAAAAGGAAAGCTTTCTGTTTCTTGGCCTACGTGTGTTTAAGCCATGTTTTTTAAACAATCCTTCAACCCATGTACCGTACCCTTGCCAAGTAGTTGTCACGTGGGCATTACCTGCAGCGGTTCTTGAATGCCTGGAGTGCGTACGCAGCTGTAACCTATGAGGCTTTCAGCTGGCTTTTCAAATCATGAGGACAGTTGTTTCACGGAGTTTGAGAAACCCGCTTGAGTGATGGGAGTTGGCCAGTCTCAGCGGGCACCGCAGGGTCGTTCCCTGGGATCTGCAGAGATTTCCTCGGCCAGCGCAGGAGAGGTACGTCGGCGTGCTCCGCGCTCGCAGCTCGGGGCCCGGTTGCTGCAGCCCCGGTGGAGGCGGCTCGCCGCAGCACGGCTCAGAGGAGCGGCCGGTGCCGCCTTTGTTCACCGTGAGAGGAGACTCTCACCTTGGGAGCGGGAAGCAGCAAGGAAGGGTGTTACGCTCGGGGTGAAAGCCTTAATTAAAAATTAAAACCAGTTCATGCTCCTTGTGATATTGTTCATACATTGATTGCTAACAGTCCTGAGGAGAAATTTAATAACTCCTAGAAATTCCGTAATGCAGCATATTTGCATAATGTATATCACCTTTCTCGAGCTGTCCTATTCCCTTCTCCTTCACTTAGTTGGGCACGGTGCCACATTAATCCAGTTTTGCTTCCCATTCCCCCTTAAATATTACTTGTATTTCTTCCCCCTCCCCAAGCCTCCCCCACAGAAAGCACTGCTATAAGTAAAGCTTGGAGCAGGCAGCAGAGATGGTTCATCTTCAAAATCTCATTCTGAGCCAAAAGTATATTAAAACCCAGTAACTTTAAATACTGTTTTTAAAAATTGAGCAGAAAACACCCCCTAATTATTTACAACAGTCCCTTTCAGCGCAGTTGAAACACAAAGCTTAAATACACCTTTTTTGAAGACTACAGACAGACAAAAACGTAATTACTGTGAAAAAAAGATTATTTTACCAGTTCTCTAATGACTCCCACCTTAAGGAATTTGAAACAATATTTATCTGTGTTTCCTTAGTATTTTGCTAACACAAACAGAGTCATGGTGTTGCCATTGAGAAGAGCTGGAATGAAAAGGGAGTGAGCTCCTAAGAGAAAAGCTGTAAAATTTCTCTGCAGCTCTCTTCCACCGAGGTGAACGACTTGCCTCACAGTTTTGGAAGAGAGCTCCTGCCCAGGCAACAAGCAGAGGCGATCAGACCGTGTGTTGTTACCACTTCGAAACTGGAAAAAAAAAAAACAAACCACCCACCCTAGTGTCCAAGTAAAACAAGTCCGCTGGGCCAAAGCTGACAGGCTGCGCTTATATCCTTAAATCAGGAAGGCCAGGAGCAGCCCGTAAGTCTGAGCCCAGCTGGCGGGGGCTGGCTCTGCCTGGGCTGGGCTCCCATGCCTGACGGCGTGGCTGCCTGCCTGTGGCCCCGTGCGGGTGCTCTCCGGCCGCGCTGCCGCTGCCTGCCAGGATTTGGTGGAGGTTTAGCTGGCCCAGGCTAGAAATGATGCCGGGGTCCCTCTAATAATTCAGCAGCGTCCCTAGGCATGGTGTAAAACACCGCTGTGGAGCTAACTGCTGTCGGAGGTGCTCAGCTCCACGTGCTGCCCAAAGCCACGGTGGCCAGTGCCACTCCCTTATTTACCAATAAATGGCCTGGAGATCTGGCCACAGCCCCAGTATAGACAGGGTCCCCAGCGTGACTTTTCTAATAAAGTTTAGCATTGTTTTGCTCTAGCGTGTTGGGGGACTGGTTTGGTTTTTGAAACTACAGAAAGCCAGAGGTAAATTAAAAGGAGCTTGAGCAAAAACTTCTTTGGGGCTATTGATTTCATAGAATCACAGAATCCTTAAGGTTGGAAAAGACCTCCGAGATCATCAAGTCCAACCGTCAACCCACCACCACCAGGCCTACTAAACCATGTCCCAAATTGCCACATCTACACATTTTTTGAACACCTCCAGGGATGGTGACTCCACCATCTCTCTGGACAGCATGTTCCAATGTTTGACCACTCTTTCAGTAAAGAAATTTTTCCTAACATCCAATCTAAACCTGCCCTGGTGCAACTTGAGGCCATTTCCCCTCGTCCTATTGCCCGTTACCTGGCAGAAGATACCAACCCCCACCTTGCTACAGCCTCCTGTCAGGCAGTTGCAGAGAGCAATGACGTCTCCCCTCAGCCTCCTCTTCTCCAGGCTGAACAACCCCAGTTCCCTCAGCCGCTCCTCATAAGACTTGTGCTCCAGACCCCTCACCAGCTTTGTTGCCCTTCTCTGGACACGCTCCAGCCCCTCAATGTCCTTCCTGAACCCAGTATTCGAGGTGCAGCCTCACCACCACCGAGTACAGGGCCACGATCACTTCCCTGCTCCTGCTGCCCACACCATTCCTGACAATAGAAGCCAGGATGCCTCTTACCTCGGACAGGATAAATATGTCCCCAAATCCTATGCTAAAATCCTCAGTAAATCTTTTTTTCAAAAAGAGGGTGTTGTGCAGTACAATGTAAGCTACATGTGCAGGAGTAATAGAAGAAGAAAGCAATAATGCTTCAGCCACAGTCCGCAGGGCATTAATGCTGAATTTAGGACAGAGTCTCATCTACTAGCGGCAAAAGATATTTACCCAGACTGCCTGCCAATTCACTTGGCTGGATTTATACGCTGGTGCGATCTGGTATTGTATAATAAATCACTCCCTGAGCATCTGTTAACGACACTAAATAGGTGAGTTAATTAGAAGCTTCTGGAACCTAGTTTGTTTATGAATCATTAAAGCAAATATGAATATGGTATGACTTGAAGAATAAATACATTCTGGTGGTGAAGGGAAAATAGGATGTCCAGAGCAGTCCTGCTCATTTGTTTTCAGCTGCACTGATACGGTGTGAACGACTTCTCCATCAGCTTTAGAGCGTTCCTGGAGCTTCTTGAACATGTTCTGTCAGACGCAAGATGAAGAACATCGGTACAATACCATTATTTATACTCATTGCGTCTTTCATATAGAAGTTTCACAGGCAGCTACTGTATATTTCATGCCTCTGTGTGGGCGTAATATCTCACACAGGGAGCAGCCAGAGATACGGGGAATGAACAAATAAGAGCCCCAGCAGGTGTTATCATTTACAATTTCGTGGAGAAAGATTGCCGTGTACCGAGGGCAAATGACAGAAAGCAAAAGTTTTCGTACCCCGAGAGTCAGGAGTGAGAGAGAGTGCATCTTGTGATTTAGGAGTGGGCTGACTAATGCCAGGAGAGGAGGTTGTGATGTATTTCTGGTAATTATGATGTCTGCGCACTCTGAGCCCCAAATTTGCCTCAGAGAGCTCAGCTGTCTGCCCACGGAGGCAGTCATTTTGCAAAAGTTGCTTTGGCTTGTTACAGAAGAGACAGGCTGGGCTCTTTGGGGGGAACTTTATTTCTGATTTCTTCTCCTGGGGTTGAGGGGGAGAGCATGCAGCTGCGCTCTGTATATACAGGGAGACAACAAAGCTGTCTTAGCAAGGGTCCAACCAAAAACAACCCAGAGCCAGGAGCTGGGAGGAAGGAAAGGGGCAGTAGATTAGTCACTGGGATTTAAAAGAAACCAAGGAAAAGAGAAAAATATATGTGAGGGTTTCTGGGTGTTAACTGGAGGAAAGAATTGGTCAGTAGTGAAAGGTGAACCAGAAATGGCTTAGCTGTCAAGGAGAGTAGGTGAACAGAGTCATAAACCATAAACAAATCTTTTAAAAAATCTGTCTAATTCCCTTAAGAAAACTTCATTGCCCTTTCTGACTCAGTTTCTGCCTCTCCAAAACAGGGAGCTGGACTGACGAACCTGCTCACAGATCCTGCATTGATAGCCTGAGACTTCCCACAGAACGTAGGTCTCATGATGCCAAATGCTCCTTGTCTTTACTGTTTTTCAATATTGCACACTTTGCAGCACTGGCAGCTTTGCAGCCAAATCCGTCTCCTGTAGAGCTCGCCTGACACTGCGCGTGGCTCCCTGCCCGGCACGCAGATAGGACGTCCAGGAGCAACCTTATTCATGCCATTGTTGATAGGGTGAATCCATGT